TGACATAATAGGTTTAATCTCTACTGTGGAACATTCTAGACAACGCAATGACATCTTCCTCGCACCAGAAAAGTTCCACAATGACACATTTGAGTTACTAAAATGTGTTTATTTTGTAATTAAGTTAATTTACATTCACAAGTCATCTTTTTTCCTACATTTTGTCTGATAAAATAGACGTTTTGTTGTAAATCTGCCTCCTTAAACAAAACAAAAATAGGCAACAAATAGTAATAGAATAAAATAAAACCTATTTACATTACATTTGGTGTGCATTCTGCTTTTGGGTTTTTAAATATTCAGACTTCAATAAGTGGATTTGAAACAGGAAACGCCTCAGGATGAAATGGACAATAGCTGCATGTGACGTTCGAGGCCGCTGGGACAGAAGAGCGCTGCACATCGGGACTAAAGAGCAGAGGAAATCTCTGTCCACTCCACTGATGAGCTAAAGACCATTATCCTGTTTTGATTGGGGACTTTTGGAGGGACTGGGACCTGCTTCAGTCTAATGTTCTGACTGAGCTGGAGTGAACAAGACTATTGCATTATTAATATTAACAAGTATTTCCAGGATACACACTTCTCAAATCGTTTATGTGAGTCTGGTAATCGGTAAATAGTTGATTAAAGTGATTGACAGCTGGATTAGCCAATCAGGGACATGCATCTGTATCAAAACAACTGGCTGCCTACAAGAAACAAAAGAAAGGAAAATCTGATTTTTTAATGCCAGAGTGACAATAAGGAAGTAGCAGAAAACAATCACAGTTCAACGGCTGAGGATCCTTCTCCAGATCTCAAGTCACGATCCAGGTCAGGAATATTGGCCTATCCATACTCTGCAGTGACATCACGCTGGGGGAGTTCTACATCCACCCTGCGTTCGATTATGTTCCGACTTCCACTTGGACCTCGATTTTGACGTCACATCATGTTCCAGAGTTTGGAATCTGTCCTCCCTGGTTTAAAGCCTCGTTTTATGCCGGGCGTACACTGTGCGATACTTTCGGTCGTGTCACTCAGTCCCAGTTTAAACTGTACGACCATATCAGTCACCAAACTTCTGTTCTGTGTTGCTCGATTAGCTGCGCCTCCATGTCCTGTGTCCAAAACACTCGCCGGCGCCATCGTCCTCCACAACCTCATATCTTGCTTCCACTTCTGTGTCCACGCGTGTGCAGTCTGGCAGATTCTGGCAAATCGGCTCGTGGAACTACTTCAACAGAGAGAAATCCTCACGAGTGGCAATTGGATTTCAAACAAGTTTGATATTCTTGTGACCTACGAATGCCGATCGGGATTGGGTCATGAGGTATTAATCGGTTCTCTTTACCCCAGGTTCACTACACGAAGCACGACACACGATGAAGCCAAAACTCCGCCCGCTGCCCAAAACAGTCGCACGAGAGAAAACTCAGCTCAAAAAGGGTCAAAAATCGCACAGTGTTCGCCCGGGATCAGGCACCACGAGCTGGAGCTGCCCCTCAGACCTCAGAGCGCATGCATCTCTCATGTCAGAATGTTCAGCAGTCACCGTGGTAGCACAACGCAAAGTTTGAGATGGACAGACCATGCCCGTCCCTGATTCGCTAATCCAGCTGTCAATCATTTCCCATTTAGTCTCAACTATTCAAAACTGACTCACGTTATGTAAGGGATTGGAGACGTGTGTATTCTGGATCCCAGATAATTGATAATACTGACAACAAAGCAAAAGTGAGGTGAGAGAAATGTCGTTATGGTCAAAATAATGAGCGACAATAGTGGTGGGAACGATGCATAATTTTCACAAGACGAGACACCCCGAAATTGGGCCCACAGAAGCGAGACAAGACGAGATTTTGACATAATTTGTAATAAATAATAACGTAGTGCAATCTGTTTCACAATTCTGGCTTCACCGTTTTCATTTATTTTATGTAATACTTTAGCAGTCAGTCAGACTTTTGTAGTGCTGCTTTTTGGAACTACAGCTTCCCAAATTGCATAACTCACCAGCTCATAACTCTTTTTTAGTCCAAGCCAAAGGTAAATTCAGGGGAAAAAAACAGTCTCACAAGATCATTTTTCTTCTGTGTGCACGATCTTGTGGCAGTTTTGTCTTGCGAGATCTTGAAGCATGAGATCTTGACCCCTCCCAAGAGACCAGTGAGCTTCATAATCATATGCGTCACTTAAAAAAGACAAACGTTTGGTTCTGGCTTGAGTTGAGGAAAAAGAAATGGTGACCAGACCGATATCTACGGAAGCCGAGAGGGGTCACAACAAATACAAACGCCACAACACATTAAAAAGCCACAACACATTAAAAAGCCACAACGGAAGTGACCGCGGGACTCTATTTTCCGACGGACCGATCAAGCGGCAAGTGAAGAAGAAGAACTACAAAGTGAAAAGTAAAGGAACGGAGAAGTTGGAAACGTAAGTAAAAGTAATTTATTGTTTTATCATTATTCGTTTCACGTTGTAGTTCTTCTTCTTCACTTGCCGCTTGATCGGTCCGTCGGAAAATAGAGTCCCGCGGTCACTTCTGTTGTGGCTTTTTAATGTGTTGTGGCTTTTTAATGTGTTGTGGCTTTTTGATGTGTTGCGGCTTTTTGATGCGTTGTGGCTTTTTGATGTGTTGCGGCTTTTTGATGCGTTGTGGCTTTTTGATGCGTTGTGGCTTTTTAATGTGTTGCGGCTTTTTAATGCGTTGTGGCTTTTTAATGCATTGTGGCTTTTTGATGTGTTGCGGCTTTTTGATGCGTTGTGGCTTTTTGATGTGTTGCGGCTTTTTAATGCGTTGTGGCTTTTTAATGCATTGTGGCTGTTTGATGTGTTGTGGCTTTTTGATGTGTTGTGGCTTTTTAATGTGTTGTGGCTTTTTGATGTGTTGTGGCTTTTTGATGCGTTGTGGCTTTTAATGCGTTGTGGCTTTTAATGCGTTGTGGCTTTTTGATGTGTTGTGGCTTTTTGATGCGTTGTGGCTGTTTGATGTGTTGCGGCTTTTTAATGTGTTGCGGCTTTTTGATGTGTTGTGGCTTTTTGATGCGTTGTGGCTTTTTGATGCGTTGCGGCTTTTTAATGTGTTGTGGCTTTTTAATGTGTTGTGGCTTTTTGATGCGTTGTGGCTTTTTGATGCGTTGTGGCTTTTTAATGTGTTGTGGCTTTTTGATGTGTTGTGGCTTTTTAATGTGTTGTGGCTTTTTAATGTGTTGTGGCTTTTTGATGTGTTGTGGCTTTTTGATGCATTGTGGCTTTTTGATGCGTTGTGGCTTTTTAATGTGTTGTGGCTTTTTAATGTGTTGCTGCATTTGCGTTCGTATTTGTTGCGGCGTTTGCATTAAAACAGAGTCCCGCGGTCATTTCCGTTGTGGCTTTTTTTTGTGTGTTGTGGCTTCTTGTTGTGTTGTCGCATTTGTATTTGTCGCGGCGTTTGCGTTTGCTGTGACCCCTCTCGGCTTCCGTAGAATGGTGACCAGACTGGTATCTCTTTGTATAAAACATACAGATTTGAGGATAATTTGAGAGGATTTGCCAATACTCTCACATAACAGGACATTTCACACTCCTGCTTAATGTGATTTAATTCATTTAGTTTTGAATTTTTACTTTTAGTCCAGGTGTGTGAAGGCAGTGCGACTGTGGTGCGGCCCCAGGGCAGACTGCTGGTAAAAAATGCCAGTCTGTGCCAATTTAATTATTCCGCTGATCAGTTCTTGTTCACCACTCCTCACCACACGGGCTCATTTTCTGCAAGCATGACTTTTAAAAAATTTATTTATTTAATATTTTACCAGGTAAGTCAGTTGGGATCAGCTTCTCTTTTACAATAACGGCCTGACCAAGAGGCAGAATAAAACAAAAGCACAAACAGAAAACACTCACACATTAACTATAACATGAAACAGTGAATAGAGATATAAGACAGTGAAAAAAAATGCTGAAAAAAGTAATTATCAATTATGCAATTATCCTGTAAAATACTCTGGATTGAGTTTGGCTTTGATCATGTGCAGAAGTAAGTTACGTATTTTCCAAAAACATAAATTATAGTCTATAATTTTCAAAACTATTACTGTCATATTAGGCTTTAATCTCATTCACTCTCACCGATCACATGAAGATTAATTTATTTTTTTATTTTTATTTTATTTTATTTCACTGTAGGATTAGTAGGATTAAGTGTTTGTTTCGCCTCGTGTTTCAAAATGTGATTTATGTCAAAAATGTCAAAACCTGTTGGACTCTGGAAAATTCTCTCGTGACAGCGGCGGCGCGACGAGAACATCAGAAAAAATAAAAAAAATAAATAAATAAAAAAAGAGAGAGAGAGAAAGCGAGGAGGAGAGAAAAAGAGCTCTCACGACGCGTAATCAAAAGTCGCGCATAAAATGAAAACACGAAGCGCATTACGGCGTGATAAACTACATGAATGCCTCACGTTGCAGCTGGAGTTCGCCTCTGGCACGAGCGTCAAACACGTGACAAAATAAAAGTATTTCCGTTTGGAGCTGCGAAAATAAAACACAAAACAAACGTTACCCCGCACTTCCTTTGCTTTGTGAGAGCATCAAGGAAAGCGGTGTACAAAATAAAGAAGCAAATAAAACAGAATTATACGCACAGACACGACAGTTATTTAAGGCAATATTAGTTTACTTTTTTTTTTTTTTTTAAATCTGATCGTCACTGGTTGTAACTAAAACATAAAATAAAAGCATGACATTAGTTTGAATTATCTGAGGGATTTGTCTCACTTTAAACAGGCTGTAAACATAACGTGGTTGTTCTCATATTTGGTATTATTTATTTAATTTGGGCTACATAACCTGTGCAGGATTTGACAGATTTCTTAAAATATAAGTTTATCGTATTTCTTCTCTTTTGGATTGACGTTTCCTTTGAAGGCGCACGTGTGTCACTTCCGCGCCAGTGCGGTTACGCGCGGGCGCTTTGCCGCTGCGTGTTGAGGAGCTTTCGCTGTCGAGTCATCACAGAAGAGTGATCAGAGAGGAGCAGGAGCACACGCTGCGAGCGCGCGGAATAACAGGAGCACGGGATATGCACGGCGGACGGACGCACACCGGAGCCGTGCGTTTGTGGATGTAACGTTTTAAGTGAGATCTGGTTTGGTCTCATCTGCAGAGCTGCACAACACTGACAAGTACCAGAGTCTCGGCTCCAGCGAGTGAACTTGGCTGGTCTTACCCGGTGGGAGGTGTCCGTTCTCCGGGGTGCTCGCGGCTCACACTGCGGCGCGGCTCGTGCCTGCTTTTGGATACGTTTGCGGATAACTTTATTCTTTTTTTGTAAATATATTTTGGGCTTTTGGAAAACCAACTGTGGCTTCTATGTGACGCACTATACGGACGTCTGCGCTGCGCTACGGAGCGGACCTCTGCAGAGGAACGAAGGAGGATTTAAACAAGTTTCATCTCAGTTTGTGTTCGGCAACAGTGGAGCTAACGCAGATGTGAAAGGTACGCACCAGCTCGTGTTTTAACAGTGCTCCTCCTGCACATCGTTACAGTTGTGTTTGTTGTGGTTAAAGTTAGCAGCATAGCCTCACAGCCACACACTTCCTTTGAGTTTTACCAGGCGGCCGTGTGCGTCTGCTTCACCACGGCGGAGGATGGATTCGTGTGCACTGTTTACCTGAGCACACTTGGCTACAGACCCGCTGCGCTACACTGCGTTGCATGAACAAGTTAACCTCAGTAACGCTGTAAAAGCTCAGTAAGTTAACGCAGGACCCCCGTGCACAGTTGCATACATGTACTGCTCAGTGAGTGTAACATTTCAACCCATAAATTAATGTGGACAAACATTATGGCCAAACTAATTAAAACGTCTCTGTGACTGAACTATAGTTGGCCTCAGTGGAGCAGGGAGCTGTGTGAGTGCTGCATATCCTTGTGTTTACATTATACCCTATATGTAAACGCATTAGGGACTTGGTGCAACTCTCTCTAAATATGGACAACTCCTTCGTGAAAACCTATAGGCATTTCTGAATTACTTCCTTTTATGCTTAACTTTAGTGCAGAGCAGTATCTTTTCATGGTGCTGCATTTTCATATCAGCCAATGCAATTACCCAATAAACAAAGTGTGGCTGCTAATACAAACATATCAAGCAAATTTAAGACAAAACTGGACCGATAGAAACGCGGCTGAACTACAAACTTGGTGATATTAAGATCTTATATTACGAAAAACGGACTCTTGTGAGATTTAAGACATGTTATAATGCTGTTACCTTCATCAAAAACAGACCTGGACTGTTTTGTTTCGTTCACGCATATTTGAGTAATCCTTTATTATTAGTCTGTGTCTACATCCCCAAAGCTCAAAATGCTTCGTTCCACCTTGTGATGTCACGAAGCTGCATTTTTTCAAGTTGACGTCTACCTTTTTACCTTTTCCCTGGGCGATACCAGCGGCTGAAATGATCCAAATGATTCTAGTGAAGGTGTGTGAAGTTTAAAAACACAAAGGAGCACTTTTGGAATTACCGCATGACATCACAAGGTGGAACAGAGCGTTTGAGAGAAGAACTAAGTCTAAATATGCAGGATTTGTGTGTAGGGTTTGTGCAAAAATATCAAAATATCATTGTAATGCTGTATCGATGTATCGCCACGAGTATTTTTTTAATATATATCTTCATTTATTTATTTTTTTGAGCCAGGTACCAACAAAAATTCAAAAACAATAACAAAAACAGGGATATGTACATGAACATATTTGTAAAGTGAAGTATTTTGTTACAGTATTTTGTTTGTTTTAGAGGAAGGAAACTCGTTCATGCAACAAATTTGACATTTTCACTGTTTTGATGATTAAAATGGGCGTTTTTCATAATGAACTTTGCAAAAGAAGTGGTTTAATGAAGACTTTTGGTATCAGAGCCAAGATTTAGCCTTTATTTTTTATTGAACCGTATCGAATCGCTTTGAAATATATCTAACTGAATCGAAAGTGCTCTGTATCAAGTAGGGATGTAACAATAACCGAAATATCGTCAAAAGTCTCACAATAATATCGTGGACTATCACAGTATATCGAATTACAAGTCTCTTTGCTTAAATGAAGAGTTGTGGTGCAAAAAAAACAGAGGGAACTACGTAGACCATGATCCTTTGCTCCATTTCAGTGCAGACTACAAGAAGAAATAACAGTTCTAACACTTTTAAGTCTTGTTCTTTAGGTTAAGTCTTGTCAAGGCATTTTAAGAGGAAAAAGTCGCATATTCATAGTTTTGTTTGCCTCCAAAAAATATCGCAATAAATATCATTCCGTGAGATGTGTTCAGTCGTCCCTACCCTTTCGCGGTCTCGCTGTTTCGCGGATTTTTTTAGTACAATTTTGCCTTTTTTTTTTTTTTTTTTTACAGAGTATGAGCGTGTATTGTGTTCCTCCCCCTGCGTCCTGATTGGCTGAGGGATTGTAGACCGTTGTCAATCAATCTCCTCCATGCCGTGTCTCCTGCACAGTACAGAATGTATTCAGCTCGACAAATTTACATAAATGTTCGATCTCTAGCAGTGTGATTCTGAAGTGCAGCGCGATCGGGCTGCGTTTACCATGAGGTGCGGAGCTCTCTGTCGGTCCTTTCTCCTGCGGTCACTTCCGAGCCTGTCCCGACAGTGAGTCCTGGTTCAGTCCTGGTTCAGTCCTGTTTCAGTTCTGGTTTAGTCCTGTTTTAGTCCTGTTTTAGTTCTGTTTCAGTCCTGGTTTAGTCATGGTTAGTCATGGATCTTGGGTTCGCTACATAAAGAAGGAGGAAAATAACGAAAGGACGACAGCAGCAATAAGTTTTAAGAAGGATGCAAAAAGGGTTGTAACTGTCCTGTGTGAGAAAAGTGTATAAAGATATAATAATTGTAAAATATAAAGTTGACTACTGCGCGGATTTCACCTATCGCGGGTTATTTTTAAAACGTAACCCCCGTGATAAATGAGGGACCACTGTGTTGTGAAAATATTGTACAGAGATTTGGATATTGTTACATTCCTAATCGTGAGCTTCGCCACGATATCGCAATAAATATCGTACCGTGAGGTTCATACCGTGACGATATCGTATCGTGAGACTTGGATATTGTTACACTCCTGGTATCAAGATATGTATCGTATCGTGGCCTGTGTATTGAGATATGTATCGTGTCGTGGCCTATGTATCGAGGTATGTATCGTATCATGGCCTATGTATCGAGGTATGTATCGTATCGTGGCCTATGTATAGAGATATGTATCGTATCATGGCCTATGTATCGAGGTATGTATCGTATCGTGGCCTACGTATCAAGATATGTATCGTATCGTGGCCTATGTATAGAGATATGTATCGTATCGTGGCCTATGTATAGAGATATGTATCGTATCGTGGCCTATGTATCGAGGTATGTATCGTATCGTGGCCTACGTATCAAGATATGTATCGTATCGTGGCCTATGTATAGGATATGTATCGTATCGTGGCCTATGTATAGAGATATGTATCTTATCGTGGCCTATGTATCGAGGTATGTATCGTATCGTGGTCTATGTATCGAGGTATGTATCGTATCGTGGCCTATGTATCGAGGTATGTATCGTATCGTGGCCTATGTATCGAGGTATGTATCGTATCGTGGCCTACGTATCATATCGAAGTATGTATCGTATCGTGGCCTATGTATCAAGATATGTATCGTATCGTATCGTGGCCTATGTATCATATCGAAGTATGTATCGTTGCCTATGTATCTAGGTATGTATCGTATCGTGGCCTATGTATCATATCGAAGTATGTATCGTTGCCTATGTATCTAGGTATGTATCGTATCGTGGCCTATGTATCGAGATATGTATCGTATCTTGGCCTATGTATTAGTCATGTAACGTATCGCGGCCTATGTATCTAGGTATGTATCGTATCATGGCCTATGTATCTAGGTATGTATCGTATCATGGCCTATGTATCGAGGTATGTATCGTATCGCGGCCTATGTATCGAAGTATGTATCGTATCGGCAACTTCTTAATGATACCCAGCCCTATTTGAGCGTTAAAAATGTGAGAATGAAACAAAACTTAACTCTGCTTTGTACGTTTTGGACGAGGAAACAGCGTTATAAGATAGATGAGAAAATTGCGTGATACTGGCCCTTTTAAATTATAGTACAATAAATTACTACACCCTATATTTCATGTGACATTATCAGAACGAGCTTGCAAAAGACCCAGCCTTTATAATACACCGAGTTTGGCATTGCATTTTACTAGTTGCATAATGGCCCGTGCAACACAAACAGCAGTGAGCGCCGAGGTTGAGTCACTGATGTGTGTTTTGTTTAATTTGTGTCGACCCATTGTCTAAGCTGCTTCCTAAAGTTATTTCTTTGTTGAGCCTCCTCCTGACCAGAGCCTGACCATCAGTTCTGAGTTTGGTTGAATGCTTAAAGGTGCATTGTGTAACTTTTTTTTAGTCGGGATTTGTCACTTTCTTGATTCTATGGGTATTAGGGATGTAACGATATCCATATCTCACGGTGCGATATTTATTGCGATATTTTGGAGTATTTTGGCTGATATAATTGTAGATGTGACACTTTTTTGCTTTTAAAATACCTTGACAAGATTTTGGTGTGAATTGTTTACGTCATAATCCCAAGAATTCAAGTAAAAAACATATAACTTCATGTTGTCTGTGCCGAAATGAATCATGGGATATGTAGTTTCCGATGATCATAAACTGTTGCTTCTTTAAAACTATGCATTTAAGCAAAGGAACTTGTAATTCGATATATTGTGACAGTCCACGATATTATTGAGAGACTTTTCATGATACGATATCATGATATTTCGTAGGAATCTAAACGATATCCAAATCTATCTCTTGGTACGGTATTTATTGTGATATTTTGGAGTATTTTGGTTGATATAATTGTAGATGAGACACTTTTTTGCTTTTAAAATACCTTGACAAGATTTTGGTGTGAGTTATTTCCATCATAATCCCAAGAATTCAAGTAAAAAACATATTTCTTCATGTTGTCTGCACTCAAATGAATCATGGAAGATGTAGTTTTCGATGTGTATAAGTTGTTGCTTCTATAAAACCTGCATTTAAGCAAAGGAACTTTTAATTTGATATATTGTCCATGATATTATTGTGAGACTTTTAACGATACGATATCACGATATTTCGTAGGAATGCCACAATATCCAAATCTATCTCTTGGTACGATATTTATTGTGATATTTTGGAGTATTTTGGCTAATATAATTGTATTGTGACAGTCCATGATATTATTGTGAGACTTTTGAAGATACAATATCACAATATCTTGTAGGCCTGTAACGATATCCAAATCTCACTGTACGATATGTATTGCGATATTTTGAAGAGGCTAATATAATTGTAGATGGAATGCTTTTTTGCTTTTAAAATACCTTGGAATCATGGGATGTGTAGTTCACGATGTTCATAAGCT